ATATGTCTCTCGTCAATCCTAAAAATTTACCTAGCCAATGCAGCTTGAAAATATGGTCAAGCCCATAGGACTTGTCAGACGGACATATTACAATGTTTCCACATGACTCATCATGAATGCACTGAGGAACAGACCGTATCCTATTTGATTGATTGTTGATTGTATAACGTCCAGTGACAAATAATGCATGCATATTCAGGACAAGCACAAATTAACAACTATTACGATAGGTAGGTAGGTGACCGAATGAAGGGCGGGAAAACAAGTTGACCCCGAGTATCAGTGAAAATGAGGGTATGTTGAATAGGGGACAGAGCTTTAGCCTTGCAACAGACCACCTACGGGACTCTCGAAAGTGTTGTTACAATAGTTCTTTAACGTACAGAGAGTGTTGCAATCTCTCTACATGCGGCGTCGGATTTAACGTCACAATTCCAGTCGGACATTACCGCGTACTTATACATTCTGCCAGAGACATATAATACAATGTATTATATGTCTCTGATTCTGCATAGTCAAACGGACGCCAAACTTAAGCAAGAGTAATAAACAATTGTTACGATATATAGGTCAGTTCTGCAAAGTATGCTGACCGGAATAAAGGGCGGGAAACGTTGAATGCCGCTGGATATTAGGTATGTTGAGTAGTGGTAGAACTTTAGAACCTTTCAACAGGCCACTAACAGACCCTCGGAGTTCTTGTAAGGGTTCTTTGGGCATAGCACTCCCTCATCGGATTTAACGATACATCCCACACAGCCAAACGCATACCCAACTTTTGCAAGGGTTTTACTACCGAAACAATTATTAAAATATGTAGGTTCAGCAAGGAAGGCCGATAGGAAAGAAGGGAAGTCTGGACTGCCACTGGAAATGAGGATATGTTGAATAGGTGCAGAACTTTAGACTCGCATCAGGCCATTTACGGGCATTAAATAATGTTTGCAAGGACTCTTTATGCGGGACACTCCCTCTGCACGAGGCTTCGGATTTAACTACCCCATTCCGGCCGGATATGGCTGCGTACTTAGGTAGCAATACACAGTTAGGAAAAAACTTAAAATTGACACTCATAATTTTAATCACTTTTTTCCCTTCCTTTCTAACAAATAAGGTTTAATGTTTGTTATCTATGTACATACCTGTATCTTGGCATTGCACAAGGTCATGTTTTTCTCTGTTAATGACGTCTTTACACTAAATCCATTCGATATTGGATGTGTACTGATTGATATTTTAGTCTTAGATGCATGATTTGTTTTATTAGTTGTTATTGGCGTTGAACTAGCTGTTAGTAACAACGAGTACTCTCAGATCTGTAATTAGTGTCTTTTTGTTGTAGGGATGTATAAGTACCCTGCCACGCCCACATAGATGTATTTCTATTTGTATCCATCTGATGAGTTAAGACTTTTTCAACTGATTTTTATAGTTTATTCTTATGTTGTACTGCTACACCACTGTCCCAGGTTAGGGGAGGGTTGGCGCTTTCAAACAAGTTTAACCTCGCCACATTCTGTATGTGCCTTTCCCAAGTCAGGAGCCTGTAATTCAGTGGTTGTCGTTTGTTGCTGTGTAACATATTTTTTTTATCATTATTTTGTACATAAATTAGGCCGTTAGTTTTCTGGTTTGAATTGTTTTGCATTTGTCATTTCGGGGCCTTTCATAGCTGACTATGCGGCATGGGCTTTGCTCATTGTTGAAGGCCGTACAGTGACCTCTAGTTGTTCATTTCTGTTTTATTTGGTCTCTTGTGGAGAGTTGGCTCATTGGCAATCATACCACTTTTTTTTTATATATATGTATGGAAACGGCATCTTCCATAGATTTGATTTGAAATAGTTAAAATGGTGAAATATAATCTCTTTTTGGTGTAACCATGGCAATAATCTGCATTTATTTGATACAAAAGTGAAAATGTCACAAAAGTCCCCAAAATTTGGTCCAAAGAAAAATTTCAATCCATTAGAGTGATACCTTTTCTGAAACCATTGACATTTATCTATCAAGAGGTCAAATAAAAATCATATGCATTTAACCTCATTGTGAAAATTTGGAGTGTCAAACAGAAAAGTGGCCTATAAAACATGCAAAAAACAATCTTGATGTTCATATAAACCCACTGTGAAGGCTATATAATTCTTCAGCTCTCTAAAAATCAATTTTATTGCACAAAAACTTTCATATTTAAAAAATTCACCATGGCCAAAATGCGAAACTAAACTAACTGTGTATTGCTACCTTATACATCCCACACAGCCAAATGGACCCCAACCTTAGCGAAGGTTTTACTATCGGAAATGGGAAGTCCAGGGGAACATTATTCTATACCAGTCAACCCTTGGGGTTGACTTACTCCTGAAAACGTAACCTACTACTACTTTGGGGCGTTTAACAACCGTGACATGTGAAATGTATGAAGATTCAGATGGACATATACGAACAATAACAAATCTCATAAAGTTGTCTTGCATGTATACTGAAGAGTCTACCTAATCCTAAAAAAACAACTGGACTTCTGAGCATGAACATGATATCCAAGGTCATATGAATGGGTTAGATTCAGATGGACATATAAATAACAAAAGTACTTATCAAATTTTGACAATCTGTCCTGCTTATCATTATCCTGAAAACTTAATCAAACTACTGCAGTGTGAAGGAGATCTTAGTTATGTGAGAATAACTGTCTTTTGTTTAAATGGGGCAATATTTTCTCAGATAATTCTTAGAGACAATTGGCTAGGCTTTTGATTTTGGTACTAAAAAACAGTAAAAACAATAATACTTTTTTCAAATTTATATGTATTCCTATATAACTTTCATCATATATCATAACAATCATGTTTAAATAATTGGATTTAACTAAATGTATTCACTAATATAACAACCCTGGATTATTGCTAAAACAAAAATAGTAAAATCTAAAAAATACACAAAGGAAAAGCTCAAGCTTAAGACATGATAAGCGATTACGCTTATATAACTACAATCAAAGCCTTAAAGGCTGTAAAAGCAATTGCTTGCCATGTTAATGTTTTGGGGACTTTTTCATCCACATATATATAAGAATTAAACCTGACAGGATGTTGTCTAGTGAGAAGTAAGAAGGTTTTAACTTTATATCAATAAAAGACTTTAGCAGAAAGTCATTTTTGATATGTTTTATATTTCACAAGGAGACAACTCGTTTACCAGGCTAAAGTTGGGGTCAAATTTACATGTGCTGAAACATATAACTCAAAAAGAAATTATCCCCTGGTAGTGTTTGTAACTGGGCAATAATTTCCTTTATTGATTTAATTTTAACAATCATCATAATTAATTTAAATTTAACCATTCAATTAAAACATTTCAACTTTCCAGACACAAATGTTGAAAAACGGGAAAGAAATAAAATATCTTACAAGACATAAACATGTAAAAAATAAATATGTATTTCAGCTTACTAAAAATATTTTCATAATGTTACTTTGTTTTCATTTCTTAAAACTAAGTCCCAAACATTATTGCTCAGTTGATATGTGTCATCCTCATGCGGTACGAGATAACTATAATTCTCATGCAATCCCGAAAAGGGGGGTCATCACAGACACACATGACATTAAATCGTCATTATACGAACAAGAACAAACAGCTCTTCGTTGCTTTGATATTTATCAATTTTCAGGAAACATTGAGAAAAATTATCTTCAATATTTCGAAAAAAATGTGATATAAAATTGCAAAAACGGTGGACCGTCAAGTGTCAACACACGTAGTAGACTCGTCCACTGGAAAGACGAGGATAATGGTTTCATCATTTGTCATGCACACCAAGTTTTGATTATGATATCCAAAAGGACGTACTTTTTTTCAATCTATGAAACTAGAAAATTCCAAATTGTAAATATCTCTTCATCTGGACTTGACATCTATCACGTTTTGACGGGTCCATTTCATTAGTAAGGTGATCGGTAAATCTTACGGAGTTATGACAAAAAAGGAAAACGAACTTATTGTTATATGTTTTTAACAAGGGTTTCGTTCCGCTAAATTATTTGCGCAAACAAATCAACTAAATAGGTCAGTTAAGTTTGTCTATTTTTAGATTACAGGTAATCATTTGATACTACGTATAATCTGTGTAGTGATTTTGATTTTACGATAAATTTATGAATGAACGATAATTTTATGAATGAACAAGAGCACCTGGCCTCTTTCTTAGAGAAACACCAATTAAACATATAAAACCGTATTTAATATGCGATAATTCAGTTAAATTTTCAATACTAAATCAACAACTGAAATGATTCGATATTTTGTTAAAACATCGTACGAAAGGAGAACGGAATCGCAGGTATAAAAATGCACTTTTTTTCACTCGGACTTCTATGTTTTTTGATAGTCAAACGGTTGTCCCCCTAAATACATCTACAAGAACATATGCTGAAACCTCTTAAATCCACTTTCGTTTTTCAAAAGTTTCAAGCTATGTATTGCATTAGAAAACATACATAGCTGTTTAAGAATGACAGACCAGGAGCCTGTTTAACAAAATACTATGGCTTGATCTGGGCGGAGTCTCTGATTTGCGTCACAAAGATGGCCATACGCGATGGCATAAAAGCAATTGCTTTAAAAATTAAGCCTTTTTACATTCTTCATTTAGTATTTATTTCAAATTTATATAGAACAAGCCGACAGCTTGTAAAGTCAACAGGCCAAATATGTGGATAAACCATAAATTACTTCTACTTCCATGTTAAAAACAATTTGCCTTTACAATGCAATTTTTCCCTTAGTATTCGCTTTTCAAGTCATTAAATGCTAACAATCACTAAAATTGCAAGAAACAAAACATTTACAGAATTTAACCTCTGGCAATTTTCTGCAAAATAAAATATTTATTGCAAACTGCATCCAAGGCTTATGTTTTTCATAATTTTTATTTTTGTATGTTTTGAGTTATTTGTAATACAATATTCTTTTAAAGTTTAACAATCTTAAGCTTTTAGGTTACCAATCATTCAGTTTTAGTAAACTGATTTCTTCAACCAGCCTGCTACAGCCATCCTAAGGTTTCATTGTTTGTTCTTACCCAAAATTAAATTCTTTGTTGGTGCTCCAAGGACAATTCTTTTTGCAAATGGTCTCTTATAGAAGTTTTATACATAATAAAAATATATACATAAAATAGATAAATTGCTATATGGAATGTACTTAATTAGACATAAGAATATGCAATGGATGTCTAAGCATTCAGCACAAAATAAAAAACTTGTATACTATAACATATGTAAATTGATTAAATCTAAAAGTATCTATAAAAAATTTTTCGTAAATAAAAAAAAGAAAAACAAACACTGATACAAGAATATGTGCCTATAGGACACCATGATCCACTCACACTACATTATTTTCATGTTCAGTAAACCATGAAATCTTGGTCAAACCCCCCAATTTGGCATATTTATCAAATAGTTAATTTCATAATAAACATGTGAACCAAGTTTCCAGTTGATGTGACCACACTACCCTCAACCAAAATCTTAGCCTACCTTTAAATCAAAACATATCACATTTCCATGTTCAGTGAGCCATAAAAAAAACCAATTTGAGAAATATATTAAATATTTTACTTCATAATGAACATGTGTCTCAAGTTTCATGCCGATGTGACCACAAACTGCCAAAACTTTTACCTACCTTAAACCACAACTTTATCCTGATATGGGATGACTGATTGAAAGGACGACAGAATGTCCGACAGACTGGAAAACATAATGCCCATCTAACATTGTAGGGGAGCACAACATTTTCATAGAATTTCTAACCTTAAGAATAAATACAAGAGCAAATTAATATGGTAAACTTTTACATGAAAAAAATATAATGATCACTCAATACTGCAACCAAATTCTAACCTAAAGTGAATCATTATCATTCAAATATCTTCCTTGAAGTGAGATGCAGCTACCAAAGATGTCAACCCATCAAATATGGTTTCTGTTAACCTAACCTGATTATAAACTTCATTATTCCACTGTTGCACTTGCTTTGAAACATCTATGCAGTAAAAAAATTGCCAAAATTAGGAGTTTTCATGATTATGAGTAGACCTGGGCTCTTGGTCATAAAACTTAACTCAGTCCTCAAAGTACAAAATTTGTGCTCGAAACACCAAATCTAGTAAAATTTTCCAGACTTCTACATCACTTTTCATGTGACTCAAAAAAAAAGAACAATCCAATCCTTCAAAATGTAATTTCCTGGTAGCCTATGTTTAAAAGTTATCACATTGCTGAAAATCATCAGAAATAACGATCGCTTCTTTGAAACTTAACAAGCTACCCTCTAAAACTGCACATCCATATGGGAGGCATACAACTCAAAATGGTACACAACCCTTCAAATAGGGCCTGTATAGTATGAGTTAATGTTCAAAGCTGAACAACCAATTATATAAAAAGCAAAAAAAGTAATGTTAGTTCTAGTTTGTTCATAATACAAAGGTTAAACTAGCCAATAACAAGATTAAACATAAAAACAAAGTGTAAACTTGTATTTCACTCAGTATTCAAAGGACAGCTGCTAACCTTAATAAAAGATCAGCAAGGATTTCCAGATATAACTCTTTTAGGAATGGGATATTTCAAAATATATACATATATAAGAAGATGTTCTCAGTTTGATTAAATTATGTCCTATACTTCATTTTATGGTTTCACAAATAATACATGTTTTAGTTTGAAAATGTGATTTTTAAATTATCTTCATGAATATGTTCCACACAGTGGGACTACTTTTTAGTCATGACTTGCATGTATAAATAAAGCATCACAATCAATCAATCCAACGTACTTCACAATACATCAACTTGTGGAGTACTGTTCCTACCAACATGGCATCCTTATACAAGGAGGCCACTGATGATCCAAACAATGTATGACCATCATCACTGAAAACTTCTGTCATCTTGGTCACCACTCCATCTTTCATGTGAAGTTTAATAACCTGGAAATGATAAATCATTACTTGGATGAATCAGTATTGTATACATAAGGCATCAATTAACTAGAGGCTCTGAGGAGCCTTAACCCCTCACTTGGCAAACATGAAATTTAAAATCATTAATCAATTTGGCAGGATAAAAAATCATAATTTAAGGACAATACCTCCTATAAGGAGTCAACTGACAATTACTGTATATTAAATTAAAGAACCTTAGTGAGCGCGCTCACAAACCCCACGTCCCCACATTGTCATTGGAGAAATAAAATATGTGTAAGAAAAAAAAATTGTATAAGAAAAAAAAATTGAATTATAATTTCCTGTCAATATGCACATCTACATAGTATGTCCTTATTATCTACAAAGTTTCATGAAATTCTGTTGTGTGGTTTCAGAGGAGTTGCGATGACAAACTGTTGCAGAAGTAAATTGAAGCAAATAAGTTCAAAGGGGCGTAACTCCTAGAAAAAAAATTAAAACCGTAATTTCCTGTCGATATGCACATCTACATAGTATGTCCTTATTATCTACAAAGTTTCATGAAATTCTGTTGTGTGGTTTCAGAGGAGTTGCGATGACAAACTGTTGCAGTAGTACATTGAAGCAAATAAGTTCAAAGGGGCGTAACTCCTAGAAAAAAAAATTGAACCCTAATTTCCTGTCGATATGCACATCTACATAGTATGTCCTTATTATCTACAAAGTTTCATGAAATTCTGTTGTGTGGTATCAGAGGAGTTGCGATGACAAACTGTTGCAGTAGTACATTGAAGCAAATAAGTTCAAAGGGGTGTAACTCCTAGAAAAAAAATTGAATCGCAATTTCCTGTCGATATGCACATCTACATAGTATGTCCTTATTATCTACAAAGTTTCATGAAATTCTGTTGTGTGGTATCAGAGGAGTTGCGATGACAAACTGTTGCAGTAGTACATTGAAGCAAATAAGTTCAAAGGGGCGTAACTCCTAGAAAAAAAATTGAACCGCAATTTCCTGTCGATATGCACATCTACATAGTATGTCCTTATTATCTAAAAAGGTTTCATGAAATTCTGTTGTGTGGTATCAGAGGAGTTGCGATGACAAACTGTTGCAGTAGTACATTTAAGTAAATAAGTTCAAAGGGGCGTAACTCCTAGAAAAAAAATTGAATCGCAATTTCCTGTCGATATGCACATCTACATAGTATGTCCTTATTATCTAAAAAGGTTTCGTGAAATTCTGTTGTGTGGTTTGAGAGGAGTTGCGATGACAAGAAATAGGACTGACGGATTGACGGACTGACGGACTGACAGACTGACGGACTGACGGACTGACGGACGGACAGACGGACAGACGGGTCAAAAACATTATACCCTCCCCAACTCGTTGCGTGGGGTATAATTAAAGAACCTTAGTGAGCGCGCTCACATACCCCACGTCCCCACATTGTCACTGGAGAAATAAAATAACTGTAAGAAAAAAAAATTGTATAAGAAAAAAAAATTGAACCATAATTTCCTGTTGATATGCACATCTACATAGTATGTCCTTATTATCTACAAAGTTTCATGAAATTCTGTTGTGTGGTTTCAGAGGAGTTGCGATGACAAACTGTTGCAGAGGTATATTGAAGCAAATAAGTTCAAAGGGGCGTAACTCCTACAAAAAAAATTGAATCATAATTTCCTGTCGATATGCACATCTACATAGTATGTCCTTATTATCTACAAAGTTTCATGAAATTCTGTTGAGTGGTTTCAGAGGAGTTGCGATGACAAACTGTTGCAGAGGTATATTGAAGCAAATAAGTTCAAAGGGGCGTAACTCCTAGAAAAAAAATTGAATCATAATTTCCGTTCGATATGCACATCTACGTAGTATGTCCTTATCATCTGAAAAGGTTTCATGAAATTCTGTTGTGTGGTTTGAGAGAAGTTGTGATGACAAAAGGTTGCAGTAGTATATTGAAGCAAATAAGTTCAAAGGGGCGTAACTCCTGGAAAAAAATTGAATCGTAATTTCCTGTTGATATGCACATCTACGTAGTATGTCCTTATTATCTACAAAGTTTCATGAAATTTTGTTGTGTAGTTTCAGAGGAGTTGAGATGACAAACTGTTGCAGTAGTACATTAAAGTAAATAAGTTCAAAGGGGCGTAACTCCTAGAAAAAAAAATGAATTGTAATTTCCTGTCGATATGCACAACAACATAGTATGTCCTTATTATCTAAAAAGTTTCATGAAATTCTGTTGTGTGGTTTCAGAGGAGTTGCGATGACAAACTGTTGCAGAGGTATATTGAAGCAAATAAGTTCAAAGGGGCGTAACTCCTACAAAAAAAATTGAATCATAATTTCCTGTCGATATGCACATCTACATAGTATGTCCTTATTATCTACAAAGTTTCATGAAATTCTGTTGTGTGGTTTCAGAGGAGTTGCGATGACAAACTGTTGCAGAGGTATATTGAAGCAAATAAGTTCAAAGGGGCGTAACTCCTAGAAAAAAAATTGAATCATAATTTCCGTTCGATATGCACATCTACGTAGTATGTCCTTATTATCTGAAAAGGTTTCATGAAATTCTGTTGTGTGGTTTGAGAGAAGTTGTGATGACAAAAGGTTGCAGTAGTATATTGAAGCAAATAAGTTCAAAGGGGCGTAACTCCTGGAAAAAAAATTGAATCGTAATTTCCTGTTGATATGCACATCTACGTAGTATGTCCTTATTATCTACAAAGTTTCATGAAATTTTGTTGTGTAGTTTCAGAGGAGTTGAGATGACAAACTGTTGCAGTAGTACATTAAAGTAAATAAGTTCAAAGGGGCGTAACTCCTAGAAAAAAAAATGAATTGTAATTTCCTGTCGATATGCACAACAACATAGTATGTCCTTATTATCTAAAAAGGTTTCGTGAAATTCTGTTGTGTGGTTTGATAGGAGTTGTGATGACAACAAACAGGACTGACGGACGGACAGACAGACGGACGGTCCCAAAAATATTATACCCTCCGCAACTCGTTGCGTGGGGTATAATGAATATGGATGACATATTTGGACGATTCTGAAATTCCAGTAATGTTTAAGCATGATCGTAACCAAGAAAGTGATTAAACAATGAATTCCTAGAATTTTAAAATAATTGAAATATTCTTGTTTGTACACATGGTAAATAGTCTGTGATTTTCTTGTGTAAAAATGGTTGGTTTTTTTTTATATTGATGAAGATATTAAATCATTACTTGTTTAAACTCATGGCAAATAAGAGTTGGTCTTATAAAGATGCTTGACTATGATTTTAGACTGTATGTTGTATTTTGGTATTTTGCATTCTTTGGTTATTGTCTGATTGATGTTTGCATTGCTTCCCCTTTAATTCACATCAACGTATTATCTGAACATGAAAAACCATTTAGATGTGTCCAGATTTTTCATGTAAATTAGCTTTATGTGATATCCAGATATTTCAAAATAAAGAGCTGCTCCATGAGCACAAGATACGCCCGTCCCTTTTTCAATGAATAGAATTCCATAAATCCTCAATGTCATATCAGAAATTTATAAAAAAAATAAGGGAGGTTATTCTAATAGATATAAACCAGTCACCAAAGTTTCATGAAAACTGCTCAAAGCACTTTTGAGTTATTGTCCAAAACTGGAAAATCACCATTTTTTATTGAATAAAATCCCACAACTCGGAAACGTAAAATCTAAAATTTATAAAAATTGAAAGGGAGCTTCCTTCAATAGATAAAAACAATTCACCAAAGTTTCATGAAAACTGCTCAAAGCATTTTTGAGTTATTGTCCGAAAACTGGAAAATCACCCTTTTTTAATGAATAAAACCCCACAACTCGAAATGTAAAATTTAAATTTTATAAAAATCAAAAGGAAGCTTACATCAATAGATATAAACAATTCACCAAAGTTTCATGCAAATTGTTTAAAGAGTTTTTGAGTTATTGTCCGACATGTTGACGACGGACGGACAGACGGACAGACAACGGTACACCATAATACGTCCTGTAAACGAGCGTATAAAAAGTATTTCATTGAACCTTCCACAAATTAAACATTACCTGTGAAGGAGCTGGTGTTTCTGGATTATCAAAATGTGCCATAAATTGCCATATTATTGGGTGAGAACCAACTAGAACATTACCATCTTTATCTAAAGTTGGGTTGTCTATTGCTGTTTTTACATTAAATTCCTAAAAACAAAACATTTATCAATATATATTCCAGAAAAAAAACAAGCGTTTAATTAAGACACATAAAATTGATTCATTTTCATTATCTTAATATCTTTTTAAAACAAGAATAAGTGTCCATAGGAACCCCACTCGTATTATCACATTTCCATGTTCAGTGAACCACAAAATCTGTATCAAAACAGTAACTTGACATCTAAATTAAATAGTTCATTTCATTATGAACATATGTTCTATAAGTTTCAAGTTGCTGTGACTATATCAAAATAACTTAAACCAAAACTTTAATCTGATACAGGATGGACAGGGGGAAGCACAGACAGGTAAACACTATACTTTAAATGAAGCAATTGGACCTAAATTGGATTTTTCAGAATATTTCATTTGGTTTTTTGTTTGTACTGATGTGACAGCCATGTTCAATGGTGGTTAGGGTGTAAACAGAATTCATAAATTGATTTGTGTATCATTTCACTAAAGACTGGTAAAGAGAAGTCTTTAGGACTAAATGGTTTTCCAAAAAAATTTCATTAAATTTGACATCAACTTGGTTTGTTTTCAAATAGTAGAACTCACATATGACAGGCATTGGAATCATCAACCAATGATTACTTTTTAATCTATGTAATTTTGATAAAATATTGAAAAAACTGACAGTTACATGATTTTCAGAATGTTTTTTTTTATTGAAATGTTTGTTAATTTATTTTTTAGTAACAGTCGCGGTCATTTTTTATGGTGTTTTGTCATTTACTATAATTTCTAATAAAATGAACCATCAATGTATAATTTGCCAAGTTTGAAAGCTCTGCATTTGTACTACCTTTTTAGATTTTTTAAAACTCACTTTTTGTTATCGTTTTTTCTAACTTTCAGAAATGAAGGTCATATTGGTTGTTGGAGAAAGACCAAATGCAATTTTAAAACTCCAAACACTACAGGTTTTGACAAAAATTGGTTCTAACTAACCATGTGGTTTCAAAAGTTAAAACACCCTGTGAAGACAACAGAATGTTACAAGAACTGTTGATGGCAACTGAGATAAAAATTGTCACATCATTAAAAACTTCGCAATCATTTCCGAATTTACAGTATATTCAAATAACTCAGTGACCATGTGACCAATCTGAAAAGAATCAAATACCTGGTATCTACTAAATCTATTTATTCTAATTACAGTCTTTTTCCTACAGAAATATGACTTCTTGCACCAAATATGAATAAAACCCTAGAAAATGAAATTTTTGTCAAACCATGCAATGAAATCATTCATATTTAAAATGTTGTCCAACTCAAAGCTGACAAACAGTCCATAATATCATTACTGTAAATTCAAAAATTTTCGATTTTTGAAGAATGGACAAAAATTGTTAAATTTTGCGATTTCAAAAACATCCGCATACATATACATGTATATGCATCAGATTTCAGAATGTGTGTTCTAATTATTGCGATACTCACCCAGTTGTATTATTCACATTATTAAAAACCTCGCAAAAATTTCTGAATTTACAGTCAATTCAAATAAATCAGTGATCATGTGACCAATCTGAAAAGAATCACGTACCTGGTATCTACTAAGTGTTCCATTTTTCTGTCTTGTAAAAGTATGAAATCTCTGAGGGATTGTTTCTCCCGTGTATAAATACCTGAAAAAGAAAGACAAATTAGGAAAAGTACAATAAATTTTCAAATGTCTGAAGACAGACTAAAATTTATGCAAAAAGGAGTAAAAGGTATTTGGGTATGACTGTAGTGTTTTCAAGACATGGAACAAACTTCTTTTCAGTGATGCATTCTACACATAAATTTGAAATTGCAACAGTTATTTGTCCCTATATTTAAGTAGAACTGGATTTAATATTTCACATGCACTAAAATGGATCAAACCTGGAACCACTGGTATAACAAGTGAGAGCTATGACAAAATGAAAATAACACTTAATCAATTTTATGTGCCCGAAGCACTTTTCTAGATTTACCTTCATCAGGAACGCTCATCGCCAAAAATTTGAAAGCCACATACATAAATAATAAACAACACTAATTGAAAGCTATACACCTAATGGGGCCTTAAGTAATAGCCATATCTTTCTAAGGTCAATTGGAACCTTTGTTTCTTTATAATTTCTAAATTTATCAACGGATAATTTAAGAAAGGACCAACTTAGCATAGATTCAGTGCACCTATGTTCTAATACAATGTAATAAAATAAAAGCAGTATTTTCCTAGTTTGCTGGAATTTCTTAGTGTGTTACTGTAAATCTACCTTCAGTAAACTAAAAATTCATGATATATGCTCTAATGATATATTAATTAGAAAATACAAGTAAATTGTATGTGTAATTAAAGAACCTTAGTGAGCGCGCTCACATACCCCACGTCCCCACATTGTCACTGGAGAAATAAAATAACTGTAAGAAAAAAAAGTTGTATAAGAAAAAAAATTGAATCATAATTTCCTGTCGATATGCACATCTACATAGTATGTCCTTATTATCTACAAAGTTTCATGAAATTCTGTTGTGTGGTTTCAGAGGAGTTGCGATGACAAACTGTTGCAGAAGTATATTGAAACAAATAAATTCAAAGGGGTGTAACTCCTAGAAAAAAAATTGAATCATAATTTCCTGTCGATATGCACATCTACATAGTATGTCCTTATTATCTACAAAGTTTCATGAAATTCTGTTGTGTGGTTTAAGAGGAGTTGCGATGACAAACTCTTGCAGAAGTATATTGAAGCAAATAAGTTCAAATGGGCGTAACTCCTAGAAAAAAAATTGAATCATAATTTCCTGTCGATATGCACATCTACGTAGTATGTCCTTATTATCTACAATATTTCATGAAATTCTGTTGTGTGGTTTCAGAGGAGTTGCAATGACAAACTGTTGCAGTAGTATATTGAAGCAAATAAGTTCAAAGGGGCGTAACTCCTAGAAAAAAAATTGAATCATAATTTCCTGTCGATATGCACATCTACATAGTATGTCCTTATTATCTAAAAAGGTTTCATGAAATTCTGTTTAGTGATTTCAGAGGAGTTGCGATGACAAACTGTTGCAGTAGTATATTGAAGCAAATAAGTTCAAAGGGGCGTAACTCCTGAACAAAAAATTGAATCATAATTTCCTGTCCATATGCACATCTACGTAGTATGTCCTTATTATCTGAAAAGGTTTCATGAAATTCTGTTGTGTGGTTTGAGAGGAGTTGCGATGACAAAAGGTTGCAGTAGTATATTGGGCAAATAAGTTCAAAGGGGCGTAACTCCTGGAAAAAATTGAATCGTAATTTCCTGTCGATATGCACATCTACGTAGTATGTCCTTTTTATCTGAAAAGGTTTCATGAAATTCTGTTGTGTGGTTTAAGAGGAGTTGGGATGACAAGAAACAGGACTGACGGACTGACGGACAGGTCAAAAACATTATACCCTCCGCAACTCGTTGCATGGGGTATAATAAAATCAATGACAATCGTGCTGTATAAGCCATCCGTGATGATATTAATATCAGTCACAGTTTCAAATGCTTTATCAAACCCTAATCTGCATTATGTCACGTCACGTGAAAACTTCTACTTGAGGTATGTAATATCCCTCAAGCCTGCTTTATTGGTAATGACTGAATAATATGTAGAAAATCTCTGATATCATGGTCTTTAACTTACATAGAAACTAAAATTTCATAATTAAACAATGGAAAATGTTGTCAAGGTCATTTGACACCTGTGAGATAGAAATGAACACCTTACAGGATTCTTTAGACCAAATAAAAAATGAAGACAGCATGTTATATAATTGACCTTCCATAGTAACAGAGCAAACTAAACTTCTTACAGATGGCATTTATAACTACAGAACATTTTTCTTACTTGGTTTGAAAGTAGAAATCAACATCTAAATGAAATCATACCAAAATATTAATATGATGGTTTGAAGTAGACAAAAAGTGTTTCCTTAATTAATGCAGTTACTTCACTTGATTAATGTTTATCTAGTACAAAACAACAGTCAAACCTGCTTAATATACCACCTATATTAAGCAAAAAGCTGCATTAAAAGACCATTAATTTTAGGTCCTTCTGTAGTGCATTTCATATAAATTGAACCACACTCATGGTATTAAAAGACCACCTGTCTTATGAAACCATTTTTTTTTTGCTCTGCCTTAAGTTGTATCTTCGAACAGATTTCACTGTATATATTATCAACAAAATTAAAAATTGTTTTTCTTACTTTTGATCATGTGATAGCATCAGACCATTTATAGTCACAAATCCATCGTATTGTTTGTGGTATGCTTTCCCATCATAATATATCAGATTTCCATAGGCTAATGGTATGATAAACTCTAATAAGGAAAGTAATCCTATAGTAGGCAGAATTTGTGAAGTAAAAACTATTTTCACTGTTCATTGCTACATCATTTACACTGAAATAAAATTAAAAGGATTTATATCATAACCTAATGATATACATGTATACATTTAATTTGAGAAATAATTCTTGAAGTTTGGATATTTCAATGTAGGTTAAGGGCATCATCAATAAATTCCAATTCCTGACATTCATTCCAATAAAGTTTTGAAGTACAGGGGTATATTTGCCTGAAAATGGGATCTCCAACATTAAAACAACTTGGTTTTCTTTTTACTTTGCTGAAAATAAGCAAATGGAGTCCCATTGCTATCTTATGCAATCAATCATGTACTGCTTCTAGAATGTTATATCAAGAAAAAATGTAGATATTTTTCTTTATCGGCAATTTGTACATTTTCCCTTTGATAATACTGCCAAATATTTTTTAGATCATGGACAGGTTTTGATACTGGAAAATATCAGGCAATGACATCATGTATCAGTGCAGCAACGTCACATGTGTATGTCCATCCGCATCAATTTATCAATGAAGTGCACGCAACTTTATTCATAAAACCAAACAATGATCACCAACATTTTTGTACAAATAAACATAGTAAGAAGACTAACTATTTTATTATATTCAACCAAAAAAACATACAGTTAAAACAAAATGCCAATACAAAGAATAATAGCATTAAATTAACTGAATTTTACACTGGAACCAATTTGATCTTTTGTGAGGTCAATAATGCTTACAAATGTATACTTGGATCTCTGTAAGTGTGTACATGCTTCAGCTGTTTATCTTTAGCTATGAACAGGAACTTTTCTATAGTATCTCCTGTTGATCCATGATTAACCACCATAACTGTTACTTTATCTTCAAAAACAAACCATATAAATATTTTGAGGTTGACCTGGACATATGGTAAGCACACATGTCTATCACTGAAGCTTCATCTTGATGTCCTTTTTTTCTAGTGTTGGATGGTTGATGTATCATTGACACCTTCTTCTGTTCATACAAAGAAATAAATATAAATGGCCTAACTGGACAATTCAAAGCGCTGAGGCAGTTTCTGTTCAAATAAGAGAATCAAATGTATTTGTAACTTTCAGTTTTTATATTTCTGTTAACATTGTGTAATTGGATGGCTTTTTGTGTTCCCTGTATACAATACACTTTTTCCTCATGTGTAGTGTGCAAGATCTACCAACTTTCTTGTTTTGTGTTTGGTTGTAGCAATAATTAAATGCAAGTCCTCAATTCAAGCACAGAGTAATTTTTTTCTAAAATTTATTATCACTTTTTTCTTTTTATTATCACTTTTTTCTTAAAACTGCCCTTACTAATATCACGTAACAAGCTTTATCACATGATAAAATAGTATACATCTAACTAGCAAATCCCAAACAACATTTTGTGTATCATGTACATGTACCGATTTGAATAATATGATTACAACTCAGAAAAATCATAATTTCAGCCTTTACAGTGTTCTCAATCACTTTTTGAATAAGAGGAAGAAAATTAAAAGTAGGAGGCAATCATGAGGGCCGCAAGGCCCGAACTGAGCTTCACAGGTGCGAGTGGGGGTGAGTTCAAGAGGGGGTGGTTACTCCCATCTCTTTAAGCTGGGGGTTTCGGATTTCACCCAAAAAAAAATGGGAAAATGTAGATTGCAGGAGGTGGCATCTGGGCTGTTCTGAGTAGATTTTGACCTCTTATTCTTCATGTTAATTTGTCCATTTTTAGTAGCTCATTTAAATTTTGCTCAAAAATTGAAAATTAATGTGATTTTTTTTTTGCAGATTTTATATGACATGACTTGCTTCACCCCGATGCATGTTCAATGTTCTTCTTATTGCAAATCCTTATCACTAAGGGCTACTGTGGATTCATTATTGTTTGTTGGATACCAATTTTCGTTGATTTCGTGGTTACCCTAAAACCATGAATTCCAATGTCTAACGAATTACAAATTTTCTATAGGAATGTATGCAGACTTTGGCAAAACCACGAAATCAAATATCCACGAAAATGCAAGTTTTCCTAAATCCACGAAAATTGGTACCCACGAAAATAAATGAATCCACAGTATTCCATAATTGATTATATGGGGACGGAAAGGCACTTTTTATTTGAATAGCATTTTAATTCATTTTTCCTTAACTTTAAGTTTTGATTGGGAATATATGTGAAGTAGCCAATGCAAAATTTTTTTTTATCAATGTGCCTTCCCCCTCCCCCATACAGACATTTCTAGAATAGCCCTTATAATTGTGTCTTCACATCATACTATTTCTTGGTGTCATGTAATATAGTTTCAAATAAAATTCATTGAGAACATTAGTTTATGCTTTATTCAGTCATTCAAAAACTGTTAAGATTTATAATTAAAGGAAACCAGAGTTGCCTGAGGAAACTGTCAACCTGCAGTAAGCAACTGACAAAATATGGCTAGAAAAATAATAAATTTTAAATCTAGGAAATACGAATGTGTAGTGTCAACAGTTTATCAGGTTACACTCAATTTAATTGGTCACTTTGGTACCAAATAATATTTTTTATCTGTTTTCTGCTTTTTAATTAGTTAGAAAAAAATTAGGGTTGGATTTTATTTTGTTAAAAATAATCTTGTTATAAGAAGTAAATTGTTTGAAGTATTTTTTAAACTCCTATGACTGATGTTTTGATTTGATTTGTTTCTTTTCAATAGACAACTTTCGAGTTCGTTGCATTTCCGTCAAAAACTTTGGTTTTAGTGAACATGATTTTTGCGTTTAGGGGCACCGGCACTTCTGTTTCCTATGTTGAGCAATTGGTTGAAAAAATGATAATGCTATATTGCACGAATTATTTGGCAAATTAAAGTCTTATAATTGATAATCAGCACTGCTGTCATTAGGGAATTGTGATTAAGTACTTACGGAACAAATATTTTTTCTAGTTTATCCTGCATAAATATAATAATTAATAAATAACTGATATCAATTAAATAATTTAAAACATGTTTGTTGTTTTCACTCTATACAGGTAGTTATTGATGTTTTTTCTTCAAAAACTTAAATAAAAAGCAATGAAGCCATTACCCAAGCTGTTGTTTAATCATGAAAAAATAAGAAGCAATAAAAGGGCAAGCTCTGAGTCCCTGTCATCAACATCAACTGGTTAAAACATGCATGATAAATATCCAATACCTTGAATACACATATAGTTGCCCAAAGAAAATACACAAAGAAACAAAAAGAACTTGAAAATAAACAATAATTAATTCTGGCCACCCCCCTTCTTTATTTCAATCTTTTTGCTTAAAATACTAAAAAACAATATATATTCAACATATATTTGACTACCTGGTAGGTGCAGAATTGAGTATACCGGGTGCTTATTTAACCAGGTTCGGAAGTGACTACAATTCGTCAGATGCGGACTGATTTCACCGTGTTTTATTTTACTTTATACTCTGGCGATTATACAATAAGATACATAAACAAATGAACACAAGTTTAAATCCATGTAAGAATTCACTAAGCAAACTTTCTTATCTTTGCTTTACTGTAAAGCTGGCTCACGCTTAAAGTAGTCACTGATCGTTCACTTCATGTGAGTTTGTAATGATGTCTAAAATATCCGCCTCAACATCAATCTCGATTTGTACATATTTTATCGCTTTGTTTCCAACGCTCAAATAATTTGAACTGGTTAACGTTTACTATTGTATTATTTACGTCTGGTGGACGACTCGGAACTAGCTAGTTGAAAAAGATGTACGACAGATTCCGACTATGCTATTTTCACGAATGTCATAGTTTTGTCAATAAATCAATAGCCGGCACAAAACAAGCAATAGGAAGCAGATTTTGCTCGTCCTTATTGAGAACACTGCTTTAAATATCATTTTGCAGTTGTTATGAATGGTACCCACTTAGTTTTTGGGACGGTTGTAAAACTAAGGTAGTTTTCATTTTTTGTAAAATCACATTTTTAAGATTTTATAATGCACAAAATTTACCTTGGTCTTTCCATTTATATAAACTAATACCATGAGGACCAAAATCTGACTGGTTAAACTGGTCACCTACAATTGTCAGTTCTTCTATGCCTTTTTCTGGTTTATTAAAATCAAACAAATATATTCTTCCTTTTCCATTGTGCTTCTTACGGTATTCACAAACTGTAGGAGAAGTTGTTGGTATAACAAGGCCCTGAAATATTATTCATGAAGAGAGATTATTTCATACTTAAATAGCAATTTCTTATTGAAATAATAGATTCAACTTTTGACCTCCACTCGTACCTTCTCCATTAATTTTTCTCTAAATCTTAAACTTCAAAGTAACAAGTATCAATTTTGATTATGCATTTTCAAATACTTTGTGACATTTTAGTTACCAACAAAATTTGAGGTTTTGTTTTTTCTCAACTAAGTTAAAATAAAATGTCTCGTACTAACTATTATCACTGAAAGAGATCTAGACTCAAGCACTTGGGAGTCCAATTCTAAAAATTCTATTTCAAACAATTACCTGGTATTTTTTCTATTTTGGAAACATATTTTATGAGCACATTTCAACCCTTCTTTCATAATTATCCACTGTCTTTTATTTCCTTGTCCAAGTTTGGGGTCGTCCTGTTTGTAGCTGGACTGTGCAGGTTTTTATTCTGTGGTTTACTTTTACAACATAGTCTAAATATGCAATGGGTGAGATTGGTGCTCATGTAAACTGGTACTGGGAGTGAGTGGTTAAAATTACCCCACTACATTTTGTTCCTGTACCAAGTCAGGCTATCAGTGGACCATGTGTTGTTTGTTATTGTTTATGTATGTTGAATTTTCTAAAATATTCAGATGTTGGTGTGGTCCCCGACTAGTCCAATATTTTTAATGCGAGTGCTGATCTATACATTTGCCACAATATGTTTAAACAAACTTTTAGGCCAATACCATACTTACCGATGTAATAAGTGTTAAACCATTAGGTAATGTCTCCATGTCCTCATATCCAATTCCTGTAATCAAATATAATAAGTAAAACTATATGTTAAAACTGTCTGCTAGCTATTGTAGTAAAATATCCATTTTCAGAGTACAAAATAATTGGAAAAAATTATCTAACTGTCTTGGATTAAATGCAGACAGCTCATCCCCTGGGTCTTAATGACAATATACTTGGACAAGGGAACATATCTACAACTTCTTCTATTGATATCATGAATATTGTTGATAAAAGACAACGTAATAATAGGTCTCATGGCAAACAGATCAATCGAAATCAACGAATTAAAAATCGTATAAATTATACACTTGATAATCTCCTATCTATATTTAAAAACAATGGTAGTCATCAACTATTATGTAAACTGGGTCAAATACCAATTAGTAAATTACATGATATTTTTCAGGAGTGTGACACAATTTCATTCTTCCGCCCACTCTATGAATATTCGCGTATAATTACAGCTTTTTGCCACCATAGGCTGTTCCAGTGTATCGATAAACCAGCAGATCATAAACGGCACTTTCTGAAAATTAAATATATTAACAGAGGTATTGATTTTATCAACTTATCGAGTATATTTAATGACTCTACCGTTCAAAACTTTATACCTCCCTATTTTGATAACACAGAACCACCCATTATTTCGTACACATACAAAAAAACCCAGCAGAAGTTTAATTTTTAATTATATACGTCAGTAACATCAGACGTCAATGTAGAAAATAATACTCCTCTAACTTCATGAACTTGAAACTGTGAATCGTCGAAGTTTAGATATGATCCCTATGGCCATGTTATTACCGGGGACCTCAATATTGTCCAAGACAGAGAGGTTAAAAACTTTTTGAAACTAGAGGCTCTCAAGAGCCTGTGTCGCTCACCTTTATTTACTAATGCTTTGGAAATTATGTAAAATAAGGTTAAAATCATAATTAATAGTATTAGCTATTAGTTTTATAATGATATCAAAGATAATAACAAACAAGAGGCTCTCAAGTGCCTGTGTCGCTCACCTGTATTTACTGATGCTTTGGAAATCATGTAAAATAAGGTTAAAATTATAATTAATAGTATTAGATATTAGATATTATAATACTATCTAAGATAATGCAAAAAACCGCAAAATTTCTGTAAAATTACTAACTCAGGGGCAGCAACCCAACAATGGGTTGTCGGATTCGTCTGAAAATTTCAGGACAGATAAATCTAAATCTGATGAACATTTTTGCCACCTGTCAGATTTGCTCTAAATGCTTTAGTTTCAGAGATATAAACCAAAAACTGCATTTACCCCCATGTTCTATTTTTAACCAAGTCAGCTATGATGGTTGGAAGGCGGGGTCATCGGACAAGTTTTTAAACTAGATACCCTAATAATGATTATGGCCAAGTACGGTTAAATTTGTCTCAGTAGTTTCAGAGAAGAAGATTTTTGTAGAAAAATACAAAAATTTACGAAAAATTGTTAAAAATTGACTATGAAGGGCAATTACTCCTAAAGAGGTCGACTGACAATTTTGGTCATGACGACTTATTTGTAAATCTTACTTTGCTGAACATTATTGCTGTTTACAGTTTATCTCTATTTATAATAATATTCAAGATAACCAAAAACTGCAAAATTTCCTTAAAATTACCAATTCAGGGGCAGCAACTCAACAACAGGTTGTCAGATTTGTCTGAAAATTTCAGGGCAGATAGATGTTGACCTGATAATCAGTTTTACCCTAAGTCAGATTTACTCTAAATGTTTTGGTTTCAGAGATATACCGGTAAGCCAAAATCTACATTTTACCCCTATGTTCTATTTTTAGCCATCTTAGTTGGTTGGCGGAGTCTTGGACACATTTTTTAAACTAGATACCCTAATGATGATTGTGGCCAAGTTTGGTTAAATTTGGCCCAGTGGTTTCAGAGGAGAAGATTTTTGTAAAAAGCTAACGACGACGGACGGCGACGACAGACAACGGACGACGGACATCAAGTGATGAGAAAAGCTCACCTGGCCCGAAGGTAAAAAGGACCAAAATATCATCCTCCATCTACCATAGATTGGAAACAGTGTCGTCATGTCACAAAAGATGCTCTTTCCTCGTATTGTAAAAATTGGTGTAAACGGGAAAAATCTGATATAAAATCTCTTCTTTTTTAAATAAATGTATGAATGTTGTGGACATTCGAATATCACATTTTAAAAATAATTCAGAAATAAATAAAAGATTTCATAATACTCCTATTCTAGAATAAGAAATAAACTTCAAGAACTTTCAAAGCGGTTTGTGTTTGTACCGGCCGACAAAGCAGCCAACAATGTGGTGGTGGTATGCCGTAAATACTACATGGATGTTCTTAAGAATGAAATTTTAAATTCATCTACATTCAAGTCTGTACGCTCCACAGAGAGTCATATAGTAAACAAACATATCATAATCACATCACAACTTAAGGCATCTTCTGAACATTTGAAGGTCTCTACTATGTTTTGGTTACCTACACTACACAAAAAACCAGTAAAATATCGTTTCATCTCACCCTCTAATAAGTGTTCTACAACTAATCTTTCAGTGCTTTTAACTAGTTCCTAAACTACTATCGAAGAACTTACCATTAACTTTTGTAATAAAATATATGAAAATAGTGGAATTAACTATTTTTGGACTGTAAAAAATTCTTTGGATGTTTTAGATAAATTACGTGCTTTTGATTGTCCTTTTGATTCTGTTGACAGTTTTGACTTTTCAACTCTTTACACTACACTTCTACACAATCTTATCAAAGAAAAGTTTTCCTATTCAATTAAATGGTCGTTTGGTAAATCTGAATGCAAACATATTTGCTGCAACTCATTTAAAGCCTTCTTCTCTAATGAGAAAGGGAAATATGCTAGATATACTTACTGGAGGTGTGATGAGATGATTGAAGCTGTTAATTTTCTCCTTGATAATATTTATGTATGTTTCGGCAACAAAGTTTATCGACAGGTTGTAGGTATTCCTATGGGCACTAATTGCGCCCCTTTAATAGCAGACTTGTTTTTGTACTGTTATGAATCACAGTTTATGACCAAACTCAGTAAAGACCTGTCTAAATTGCATTTAATTAAAAAATTCAACAACACTTACATTTATCTTGATGATATTTTTTCGTCAAATAATCAAGAATTTTCTAAATATACTGCCGAAATTTGCCAAAAGGAACTTACTTTAAATAAATCAAATGTAAACAGTAATAACTGTCCATTCCTAGATTTAGATATTTCAGTTTTACACTTAATTTACGACAAAAGGGATGATTTTTCGTTCCCTATTGTTAATTTTCCTTTTTTGGATGGTGATGTTCCTTTGGCACCATCTTACGGTATTTATATATCACAACTCGTTCACTATGCCTGTGTCTGTTGTGACGTTTTCGATTTTAGATGAACTTAATCTATGTATTTCTGGTAAATTATTAAGTCAGGGATTTCGTTACCACAAATTAAATTACAAATAAAACCTTTACTAATTTCTTCCATAGTTATAAAGATTTGGTTTTGAAGTTTGGTTGTACCTTTAAAAAACTTATTTCAAATGGGATAGCAACCACATTTTAACGGAGATGTTGTTTACCGTGCCCAGAAATTTAAAAAAGATCCTGGTAAACTTAATGATCCTTCAAATAAACTTATTCTAAAAGGTTATCAATTCAACACTGTAATTACATCTTTGAATATTGTTTTTATTGGTATTAATATTGATTTTGTTATCAGTAAATTAAAAGCAAACTAAATATTATTGTTGTATACATTATGCACATTCATGGATCTACAATCTGTCGGTACCTGCACAAGTTCATGATTTTCTCTGTTTATGACGTCTTTACACTAAATCCCTTGGATGTTGGATGTGTAATGATTGATAATTTAGTCTTAGATGCATGATTTTTTTTTTTTTTTTTTTTTTAATAGTTGTTACTGGCTTTGAACTAACTGTCAGTTAAACTGCGAGTACTCTCATATCTGTACTTAGTGTCTTTTTGTTGTTGGGATGTACAAGTACCCTGCCACGTCCACTCTGTGTTTTTGTTAGATGTATTTCTATTTGTACCCATCTGATGAGTTAAGCCTTTTTCAACTGATTTTTATAGTTCGTTCTTATGTTGTACCGTAACACCACTGTCCCAGGTTAGGGGGAGGGTTGGGATCCCGCTTACATGATTAACCCCACCACATTCTGTTTGTATGTGCCTGTCCCAAGTCAGGAGCCTGTAATTCAGTGGTTGTCGTTTGTTGATGTGTTACATATTTGCTTTTCGTTCATTTTTTTGTACATACATTAGGCCGTTAGTTTTCTCGTTTGAATTGTTTTACATTTGTCATTTCGGGGCCCCTTATAGCTGACTATGAGGTATGGGCTTTGCTCATTGTTGAAGGCCTTACGGTGACCTATAGTTGTAAATTTCTGTGTCATTTGATCTCTTGTGAAGTCTATGATCCCTATCTAGAGTCACTAGTCATTTACAAAGTTACACATGTACTTAGGCCTCCCTTTTCTTGAAGCCAGTTTTTTTTTTAAAATAGAACAATGATTTAGTGTATCAATATGATAAATTACCTTGTCCAGGAACAATCCTGCAGGGTCCTGGTGTATGGTTATAAACATGCTTAAAAAGATCAAGGCCATGCCTGAAATAAAAAAATATAAAAACAGTTCTGCCAACTTTTAATAATGCAAATGCGTGAGATTTGGACAAAATCGTAAAGATCAAAGAGAAAAAACAATAGATCAAAGGAAAATGCCGCCAAATAAGCATGAAAATGCGTGAGACTAATGGCAGCCCTATAAAAATGATATATTTTTGGGGAAGTTATATGTATGTTTTATAGGAAAACCATTATGCAATATTTTGGTCAAGACAAATTGATACACTCACTCACGGGTTTATGCATCTGTTTATGCATTTGTTCAGTCATTGTTAGACATTTCCCAATGATATGGTCAGAGACTTATATCACTTATATAGATGTGATCT